CTAAAAGATAACTAAAGCTATTTACTATTTTAATAAATGTCCTGTTCTGTGTTTTGCACATATTTTGTTTCATACATGTTATTTCACTTAGAAATATGTCATATTACAGACGTTAAAGCAACTGTATGAAGTTCTGCATGTAGTTGTATGTATTTTTGCGACTTTGAAGCCGCCTACAGTTAAATAAGTGGAATTCACTGTCGTAAATATAGCCTATTACTGTCGTGATTACAGTGGATAGCTGTGCACGCACATTTGTTGCTGCCGTAAAGTGATCCGCTCTTTTCGTGTAATTTCGTACCCGCTCACGAAACTGACATGCTTCCAGAACAGATGTTTGGGAAGGAAACAGAAGCCATTCACCTTATTAGAAGCCAGTGTACCATCAGAATGATTTGAAAAGGGATATTTCAAGGTAATAAAACAAATGTCCAGTTGCTTTAAAAGCCTCTCGAATGCTGAGAAGGAATGAGGAAAATGAATATGCCGTCTCTAACCACCAGGTGACAGCACTGAAGCAGAAACTCAATCTCACCAGAGACGTTCAGCATGTCATCGATCCGGCCGGTGATCCAGTAATATCCGTCCTGGTCTCGCCTGCAGCCTGAGGACAGAAGGACCCTCGGTTACAGTAACTGTTACATACTGCCATACGATACAGCAACAGCTCATGCTGTAAATAGTGACTGCTGAAGTTTGGTGACGCTGCTGAAACAGCCACATGGTGACTGGTAATGTATTAAAAACTGAGCACACATGACAAATACATATTAAGTAACTGCGTGTTATTCATGTAACCTGTAAAGTAGCGCATTACTTTATTTTTTTTGTATGGAGTAAATGTGCAAGCAATGCATAATGCTTTTCATTTAACTGAGATGAGATACAAAAGTTCATATAAAATATATTAATTGCAAAATTCATCAATTTGTCGCTTTCATTAGATGTGATTTTAATTTGATTGCTTTCTGGAAGAAACATGTAAAGCAACCTTACCGTTGAATTTACATCATAATACCTAAATTACTTTTTCTTAATTTGTAACTTGTCTGATATTGAATTTATATATATA